GTTTTTATGCCCTAGTACATGGTCATTTTTGTGTATGTGCCATGTACTGCCAGGAAAAAGTATATTCCTTTCTATCCCCATTCAGTTTTCTCCAGAGGTCTATCATACCTAACTTTTCTAATGTTCTATTCACCTCCTTAACTTCTTTCTTGTTTATTTTGTGGTTAGACTTATCTAGTGCCAAGAGGGGGAGGTTCAGGTCCCCCACTAGTATAGTTTTGCTGTCTATTTCTTCCTGTAACTCCCTGAACTTCTCCTCTAAGAATTTGGATGCTATACCATTTGGTGCATATATATTTAGTAATGATATTACTTCATTGTCTATGGTGCCTTTTAGCAGGATGTAGTTTCCTTCCTTATCTCTTTTGATTAGATCTATTTTTGCTTTTGCTTTGTCTGAGATCAGGATGCTACCCCTGCTTTTTTACTTCAGCTGAGCATAATATATTCTGCTCCAGCCTTTTACCTTTACCCTGTATGTGTCACTCTTTTTCAAATGTGTTTCCTGTAAACAACATATTGTAGGATTATGGTTTTTAATCCATTCTGCAATCCCTTTCTGTTTTATGGGAGAGTTCATCCCATTCACATTCACAGTTATTACTATCTTTTTCTCCATCCTTTCCCCTCCATTTATGCTTTTCTTTCTCCTTTTTCCTTTCCCCCTTCACTAGTGTTTTGCTTTTGACCACGCCTCCTTCAGTCCCTCCCCCTTTTATTATCCCTTTCCCTTTTCTTCCCCTTTACTCTTACTGCTTCTTCCCTCCCTTCTTTCCCCCTCCCTTTTCTTTCCCCTTTTCCCTCCTACTGCCTATAGGGCAAGTTAGATTTCTATACCTAACTGATTATGTTATGCCCTTCTTGAGCCAAATCTGATGAGAGTAAGGTTCAAACAATGCTCCCCCCCCCTTCTTTCCCTCTGCTGTAATAGGATTTTGTGTCTTTTCCTGTAATGTAATTTACCCTTGTCTGCCTCCTCCTTTCTCAGTACATTTTCTAAGATCAGATTGATCCACTTATTTGGATCCATTTAACCCACTTGATTAGATTCTTTTTTATCATTACATCAAAGTCAACTAATATCCACCCTCTTTATGTATACTCCTTTAACAGGTGTAATAACAATACAGTTCTCAAGGGTTGCAAGTGTCATATTCCCTTGTAGGGTTTAAACAGCCCCCCCCTTATTAACAACATATTGTATCTTTCTGTCCCATTTACCTTTTTAAGTCCTTCTTGAGTCCTGTACTTGAAGATCAAATTTTTTGTTGAGCTCTGGTCTTTTTATCAGGAAAGTTTGGAAGTCTCCTATTTCATTGAATATCCCTCCTCCCTTGAAAAATGATGCTCATTTTTGCTGGGTAATTGATCCTTGGCTGCATTCCAAGCTCCTTTGCCTTAGGAATATCATGTTCCATGCCCTGGTCTTTTAATGTAGAAGCTGCAAGGTCCTGTGTAATCCTGACTGTGGTTCCATGATATTTAAATTTCTTTCTGGCTGCTTGCAGCACCTTCTCTTTCATCTGGTAATTTTGGAATTTTGCTATTATTTCCTTGGTTGTCAATTTGGGATCTCTTTCAGGTGGTGATCAGTGGATTCTTTCTATGGTTATTTTCCCTTCTGGTTCTAGGACTTCAGGGCAGTTTTCCTTTATGATTTCCTGAAAGATACTGTCCAGGCTCTTTTTTCATCATGATTTTCAGGTAGTCCAATAATTTTTAAATTGTCTCTCCTGAGTCGATTTTCCAGGTCGGTTGTTTTACTGATGAGGTATTTTATTTCATCTATTTTTTCATTTTTTTGTTTCTGTTTGACTGATTCTTGCTCTCTCATAGAGACATTAGTTTCCATTTGTCCAATTCTAGTTTTTAACAGATTGTTTTCTTCTGTTAGTTTTTGTACTTCCTTCTTCAATTGGCCAATTTGTTTTTTAGGGACTTGTTTTCTTCAGTGTATTTTTTTTCCAATTGGCCAATTGTATTTTTGAAGGACTCTTCTACCTCTCTCATTTGACTATTAAAATCCTTCTTGAGCTCTTCTAAGAAGGCTTTTTGGGCTTCAGACCAGTTCATATTCCCTTTTGTTGTTGCAGATGTGGGTTTGTTGACAATGTTGTCCTCTTCAGAATTTCTGTCTTGATCTTCACTCTTCTCATAATATGAATCTATGGTACGTTTCTTTTTACTCATGGTGTTTCTTTATTCCCTGGCCTTTAAAGAGATTGAGCTCTCCTGCTGGGGAACAGAGGGTACTGACCCAAGCTTCTTGTGTTGGGAGCCTAGGTCTTGGTCACTGGCTTTGTGTGCTGGGGCCTCTTATGCTGGCAATTGGAGGCTGTAGGTTTCTGGCAGCTTACCTCGTGTTGGGCTGGAATCAGCAAGGCTGGAACTTTCAGGCAATTCTAGGTTGCCTGCTTTTCCTTTCCTTTAGCTTTCTTCAGCTCCTTTTAGATGGGTGCTGCAGGTGTTTATCTGCCTGGGGCCCCCTGCAGTGTTGTCTCCCTCTTTCTGCTAATGCACTGGGAGATTCCTTTGTGGTAGAGTGCTGAGGCACCTGGTGGTTTTCTGAGCTGGTTTCCACAGGTTCCCCCCACCCTCACTGAGGCACTCGGAGGTCCAGGTGTTGGTATTTGCCTGTTCTACCACCTGGGCTTCAGGATTTCTTCACAATTGGAGGCTGCAGGGCTCCGACAGCTCACCTGGTGTTGGGTTGGAATCAGCAAGGCCAGGGCTTTAGGAAGCCTTTAGGTTGTTTTCTTCACCTCCTTTCAGATGAATGCAGCAGGGTACTTATCTGCCTGGGGCCCCTTGTAGTTCTGCCTCCCTTATTTTTGCTGAGGCACTGGGAGACCCGTTTGCTGGGCTGCTGCACTGCTGCTCCCCGTCTTTCTTCTAGTTCAGGTGTTCCAGGGTTTTTTTTCTGGGGTGATATTTTCTGGGTTTTCAGAGGTTGATAGGGGAGAGTGAGAGCAACTACCTTTTCACTCCACCATCTTGGCTCCCGGAAGCGGAAGTCTCAACACTGATCTCTTAACTGCCAAATCTGATGACCTTCACTTTGTTCTAGCCTTCAGCAGCTCTGCAGCACCTGACACTGTGGACTATTCATTCAATCACTCCTTAATACTCTTTCTTTTCTGGATTTTCATGAGATTCTTCTTTCCTAGTTTTCCTCCCACCGACAGACCCCTTCCCCTCCTCAGTCTCTTTTGTTAGCTCATGTTCCCAATCACACCCTCTAACTGGTGCTCTGGCCCAGGCCATTTCTTCCTTCTACATCAGGGCTTCTTGACATGGATAGATTTCAGAGGTTCTGATAACTGTATTTCAATATAAATGGTTTGCTTCGTAAGCCTAGGTATTTCAATAATTAAAAAAGGTTACTTTGAAAAGGAGTCCACAGACTTTACCAGACTACTAAAGGGGCCCACGACACAAAAAAAGTTAAGAACCCCCCTCTACATCCTCTTGGTGCAGTATATTGTATTACAACATTGGAAAGTGAAGTAGAGAGAACATTAGACTTGGATTAAAGAGACTTAGATTGAAAGTATGTCTCTGATCACTACCGTATGACCACTTAAGCTCTTTATTCATTAGCTGCTATGAGTATAAATATTCTTAATAGAAATGACTCCCAGAGCTAAACATCCAGCCTTACTTAGTCTTTCCTGATCTCAAATGCCACATGTCCAAAAGAGAACTCATTACTCCCCAAACCTACTTCTCTCTTCCAAATTTTCCCACTTTTAGGAGCACCATCAGTTTTCTAGTCTTCTGAGTTAATAACCTCCATTTATCCTTGCCTTCTCTCTCTGCCTCATCTTCTACATCGAATCAGTTGCCAAATCTTGCTGGTTTTTTTACCTTTACATTTCTCAAATTAGACCCTACCTCACTACTTGCAAAGTTACCACCTTAGCTCAGGGCCTCATCACCTCTCACCTTAACCATTACAATGGTTTCCTAACTGGTCTCACTGCTTAAAGCCTCTCCTTCTTCCAATCCATCCTCAAGAAAACTGTCAAAATGATTTTCCTTAAGTATAGGTCTGATCATATCACTCCCCTAACCAATGAATTCCAATATCTAACTACTACTTCTAGGACCAAATAAGAACCCTTCTGTTTGGATCTCAAAATTCTTTATGATGTGGCCCTAACCTTAACTTTCCAGCTTCCAGATCCATGTCTCCCCTTCCCTCACTCTGGCCTTCTTGTTGTTCCTCACATGTGGCATAAATTGATCCTGTCCACTTATTACAAAAATAACTCATTAAAAGGAAAAAAATTTCTAGTGAAGCAAAAATTGTGATTATTTTCATAGACAGGGAAATTAACTTCAATCTAAAACCATGGCCTTCTCACTCAATGGAGTAACTGGAATTCTTGATTATAATTTTCTGATTTGAAAAAGTATACATATTTACATGTACATGTCCCCAAGAAAAAAATATTCTCTTCCCCAGTTTCTACTACACTGAATCAAATTTATACAGAGGATTAGTTTATATGATTAATAACAAAAATGATCCCTTCTAGGAGGGAAAAAAAAATCTTAATTATTCTAAATGCTGGCAGTTTGAAATCTTCTGAAAAGGACACTTTTCCCCTCCATAATTCAATTTAATTCAGTTATGTGCAAGGCAGTTCTGAACTTTTAAAACCCGATGGTAAATAACATGGAGAAGACTGAGGAAGGGCGTAGTCCAGGAGAAAACTCACAGGCTCTGGTGTCAGAGGACCTCATTTCAAACCTTATTCTGTCATCTACTACCTTTGTCACTTGAGAGAAGTCACTTGATCTCTCTGCCCTTAGTTTCCTCATCATGAAGGGGCTGTACTAGAGGCCCCTGAGGTCCTTTCCAGCTAGATCTATGACCCTGTGACTGTCTACCACAAATGCTATGGTAGAAAACTAGGAAAGAACAGAAAGTAATCTTAAAAAAGACTGATCAATAATCAACCTTAATTTTAGCATCCAGACATTTCAGTACATACCATTCTGCATTTGGATGAGACGTTGAGACCATTTGTGGGAAGTCAATCATGGTTATGTGGTCATCTTTATCCAGCATTAGATTGAATTCATTGAAATCACCATGAATTAGTCCATGATTAGCAAGTTTAATAATTAGTTCCATTGCTTCATTATATACTGCTGCAGGATCTTCAATATGATGTACCTGGCACCTAATACCATTTAAAAATGCAAGCAAAGCATTAATACAGACAATTTTAATTTGTCACTTCAAGAAGTCATACACACACATACTGTTTAATGTACTGTATCACTCAAATGCTAATTTACTATTTGATTGCGATCATGATGGCAGTTTACCTGAATAAAAGTGAATAAAAGATCTGGAAGATACATTTCAGAATTTAGGGCACTTCTCTAGAACAGAGATATAAACTTGCTGCCCTTGAGGCAGGAACCAGATAAAACTAAAATTGGAGAAGGCTTAACAAAAAACAAACAATACAATACAGATGTTAATTTATGGTTTTCTAAGTCAATATGCAGCCTGTAGGATCCATTTCTATTTGAGTTTGACATCATTTTCTACAATATATCAGTGTATTCTGAAATATGTTACGGCTACCAGGTATTATAAAGTCCCAGTTTCAAACCAAAATTGAGTTTGCAACCTATCTTTGTGTTCACTCTTTTAAAATCAATCTTAAAGTCACTAAAGTAGTATTACAGTTAGTTCTTTTAAAAAATTAGAACACTGTTTACAAAGAATTCATGCTTTAAAAATAATACTTACAAAGGGTAACCATTTATGAGTTCCATGACAACTGCATGTCGATTATAATCGATTGGTTTTGGAACTGGGAATTTCCTCTCATAGAGTGCCTGAAAGAATGAAAAGCATGGAGAGCTAAGGAGGAGATCAATATTCAAAATGAGATACCAGCTCAGCTGATTAACACTTAGGTCCTTTTAGCCTCTACCCATTAAGCCTAGCTCTGTCCTCTGGAGATATACTAGTAGGTGTTGTTCCACATGAACATCTTTCAAGTATTTTGGGTCCCTTTCTGTCCAGCTTAAAGTATGGTGTTAACATATTTTAAGTTCTTTATTATGTGTTTCTACGAATGCAACCTAAGACAACACTGACTTTTGGGGAAACCACTTCCTACCATCATATATACTGAACTTGCAGTCAACCAAAACTCTGATTCTTTTTCAATCCATATGAATTACTATTAAGCACATTTCTCCCACTCTCTACTTCTGCTGCCAAGCATAAGTATAGGACATTTCTTGAAATGAAAGAAAATGGTAAAGGACTAATTTGGGATGCCAGTTTCCAGTGAGATTATTTCTGTGTCAGCTGAATTTGATTTAGGGTAGAGAAATCACACTATTCAGGCTGCTATTCTTCTAACACTTGTAGTGCCCTAGTCTCTAATTTATGATTTTATTTGTTTGAACAATCTATTACAGGAATCAGCTGAGTGATAAGGCAGATAGAGCACCTGACAGGGAGTTAGGAAGTCATGAGTTCAAATCTGTCTCAGACACTTAATAACTCTAACACAAGTCACAACCCTTCTCAGCCTCAATTTCCTCATCTGTAAATAGGGGATAAAAATAGCACCTAGCTCACAGGATTGTTGTAAGGAGCATATGAGATAACATATGTAAAGTGCTTTGCAAACTTTAAAGTGTTAAAAACAAATGCTATTAATCAAAAAGCATTTAAGCTTTATGCACTTATGCAGCTGAAGCCACTTATATATGCTGTCTTCCCTCTTTAGAATCTGAGCTTCTTGAAAGCAGTGCCTATCTGGCTTTTCTATTTGTACCTCAAACATTTAGCAAAGGTTTCTGCACTGTAATCAAGAGCTAAGCAAATGCTTCTCCATTCAGTCATTAAACATCTAGTATGTACCAAAATATTCACCTTATGGTTGTGCCAGTTTCCCTACTTCTTACTTAGGCGCTTATAAAAAGAAGCCATTTCTATCCAGTGGTCTCTACACCTACATATATTTTAATGATATCATAGCTAACACTTACATAATGTGTTAAGATTTGCAAAGCGTATTTCATATATTGTCTCACTGGATCCTGACAACAATCCTGTGAGACAGATGTTCCATCATTATTCCCAATTTACAGATGATGAAACTGAAATAGAGAGAATGACTTGCCTACGGTCACAGAGCTAAGTAAATATCAGAGAGGGGATGTGAACTCGGGTCTTCTTGGTAGCATGTCCAGCACTCTGTCCACTGCTCCACCTAGCTGCTTCAAGGTTTCTGAACCATTCAGGAACTGTTCTTCATCTTCTGGTCAGTGTTTTTTCCTCCCTCTTTAGTAATATTAGTCTCACTGTGATGACAGAATCTTGGTACAGCAAACAACGGGGAAGTGATTTTTAAAAGCAACAATCTGCCCCCAGAGACAGTTCCTAGCAGCTGTGGTTGGTAGCAAAGTAGAGAGAGCTTGCTTCTTCCTCCTCCCTTCATCAAGCAAATACACTAACCCAACTTCAGCCCTGTGGCGATGGTTTCAGAAACCAGGGTTGATGCCCTGACATTCACTGTTCTCTAAAATAAAATCTCAGAGATGTAAAGAACTTTAGACATGATCTAGTACAATTGCATCTGGACAAGAGCTGTCTCCTACAACATCCCCAGAATAGTCATCCAGGTTTTTTTCCCAGATAATAAGCCTCCCTGAACTCAGTCCAAGACCATATTAGCTTTTTTAGCTACCTCTGTGTCTCTGCTTGTCTTCCCCATGCCTGTAATATTCTCAGCTCTAGCTCTATGTCTTAAATGAGACAAACATACACTAAAAGTTTCTGTGCTGGTGACTCTGCTAAGCACTTAGTGACATAGAGAAAAATCATAAACAGTTCCTGTCCTTGAGGAGCTTACATTCCATTATGAGATACAGCATAACTATATCAAAACATACAAAATATACACTAGTTTTAAGCAACAAATATGCTCCCCAAAAGTTGAAATTTAATAATTTAAAAGGTACTACAGAAGCTTCCTATACTTTATAGAAATCGTCTAGTCTATCTACCTCTTTTGTAAATTTAGATTTTAATTCACTGGATTTTCTTTGAGGGATGGCAACGGATAGAAGACCTTGTTAAAGGTGCCACTGGACATAGGAGCTACTAAAGAAACTACCATCTTGCCTACAGAAGAAGAATGGGAATAAGCAGAAGGAAATGAGAGAGGAGGGAAGGAATTTCAATTAAGTTGAAACCTGAGCAATTCAACTGTGCTATGTAAAAAACTTAGGTAAGTGAGATCACAAAGGAAAACAATGTATCTTTCCAGACTCACAGGCTATTACTCCCTTCTCCTGAACTCTGCCATCCAGCAAAACTGGCCTTCCTGCTGTTCTTAGAGCACTCTGTCTCCTACCTCCAAGCCTTTGTCCTGACCTTCCACAGATTTGAATGCACTCTCTCCTTACCTCTGCTTCACAAATGCTGGCTCTTCCTTTAAGATGCAGCTCATGCACCATCATCTGCATAAAGTCTAGCTGGTATGTCCAAACTACCTTGTGTGTAGCTGCTTTGTATATGTTTGTATTTGTTAGCTCTATATGTTCTCATGTGTCCTTGTTGTCTCCCTAGTCAGAATGGAAGCTCACTGTCAGCAGAGATCCTTTCATTCTTCACACTTATATCCTGCCCAGACACTAGCACACAGCCTAATAAATACTTGCAGATGGTTGACTGAAAGACATTAATTCTCATGACACAGAAAAAAAATTTTGCTTTTAAAAATCAATTCCCCACCGTTTGTTGTGCCAAGATTCTGTCATCACAATGAGAAGTTGAAGAACAATTCCTGAATGGTTCGGGAACTTTGAAGCAGCTAGGTGGAGGAGTAGCCTTAAAGGAAACTTGTTTAAAATTCTGTTAATCAGATTACATTCCACAGCTTAAAGAGAAGCTAAATCAAGTGGTACTCTCCTTATTTTTGCCTGACACTTCTGCAGATGCCAAGGCCATAAAATTACTTCTGGGCTCCAGGGTCTTAACATGGCTGCCTATTCTCTTTCTGTGGCCCAAGCAAAAAGAGGTCTCATTACTTCTGCTTTGCTAACCTCATCCCCACAAAACATGTATATGGAGGTGAGCACTGAACAGCAGGGGGGCCTTTCTACAGCTTTCACTCTCCATGGGTGGAGGCTGCTCACTTCAGCCTTAAGGAATCTTCCTGAAAATCAGGAGATTTATTTTTTAGGAATCTTAGGAGATAAACTGGGAATCCAGATTTCTATGTTTGTACCAATTAACTTAGCAATCACAGACCCTCAAACCACCATATTAACACTATCTGGCTAGTCATAATGAATATGCAGAAAATTTGTACCAATAATTATCTCAGGTTGCTGCACAGAGCTAAGGAAGAAATATGAGAAAGTGAGTGCAAATATTTATAATTACAAGTACCTTCATATAGGCAAATTCCTTCATGGCAGACAAACGGGATAAATAAAGCCATGACATATTATGTCTGTGCTTGTGGTAATCACGTTTGTTTTTCAAATTACGGAATGAAGTCCTTCCTAGTCTGTGAAGCTTCAGTGCAAACTGCTTCTTTTCTTCATTTGCAACAATATAAATATCTGAAGTTCAAAGAGTGAAAAAGTCATTATTATTACATGCAGAGTAATTCTTCCCCTTGAGTTAAATCAATTCTAACGTCCCATCATTACTCTATTTAAATTTCTTTTTCTGTAAAAATGACATTTCCTAACATAGGTAATTAGAAAGCCTACTGTCCATATCACGTCAATCTATAAGTGGAGGGAAACCAAAGAACAGGTCCTTCAGTACATATACCTAGAAGAGACGACATTTTGTTGTTCAGTTGTTCCAGTCGTGTCTGACTCTGTGACCCTGTTTGGGGTTTTCTTGGCAAAGACACTGGAGTGGTTTGCCATTCCTTCTACAGCTCATTTTACAGATGAGGAACTGGAGCAAATAAGGTTAAGTGACTTGCCCAGGGTCACGTAACTAGAAGGTATCCAGATTTGAACTCAGGAAGATGAGTCTTCCTGACACCAGGCTCACACTCTATCCACTGCGGCGCCTAGAGGCCCCTGAAGAAACACTGAGCAAAAAGTTTGGCTCAAAATCAAACAGGCAGAACAGAGTGAGGCGGACAGATTTTGAAAAACTGCTCAGAGCCTTTTCTCCCTGAAAAAAAGGCCTATTTTTTGAATACCAATAGTTGCAGAATAACAGACACTGAATACACATCTTCAACCGATAAATAGTATTATGAGAGAAATGGTATAAAGGATGTCATCAGAGATAGCTAGTTATAACTGGTAAAGAAAGTGGGCCAATCATGAAATGAGACAGGCAGATGACTGACAGTCCTCATGTTCCACTCATACCCAGCTGATGCCAAGAGCACTGCAGTGGTCTTTAAAGTGGGATGTGCTGCAAAGAAAACTTTTATTTATATTTATTATCTTAAATTAAGCTTTACAATAATACACATTGACAGCAGTACCCTCAGTTAGGCTGCATGTCAGACCATGCCAGTCATACATGTCTTGTATGAAACATGAGGTTTTCTCAGGGAAGACTGAGGAGTTCCCTAACACAGAGGGACTAAGGATGACTTTTACCTGTTGGTTCATTTTCAGTGAATTGTGATAATATTACAGTTTTCTGTGTTCTTGGGTAAGTGGATTTATGGATATTATTCAGTTATCTAAATTAGCCTTCAAAATAGACAAATGTTATAAATATCGTTGTAAAGAAATCTCTGTGAGCACAATGAAATGGCAGAGCTAACATTCTACTCCTATGAGCTATCAGTCACATTATGAGGTTAAAAATAGTGATGAATCAATTAAGATCTGACAAGACAGACAAAATAAATTTGAAATTATCAAGATTATTTAAAATATAGATTTACATCAATTATTACCAATGACGGATTTCACTCTGGGTGTACTTTGTACCCTGCTTTACTAGCTACGGCTTTAAGGTCTATAAAGTGCTTTAAGCATTGTTTTTTTTGTTTGATTCTCACAATTCCATGAGCTAAATATTTATTATACACTTCAATTTTACAGACAAACTGTGTTTCAGAGAGGTAAAATGATGTCACATCTTGTAAGGGTAAAAGGATTGGCCTATTTTTCTAGAATTAAGAGCGCAAGTCCAACGCACTGAAGACTAGAAATTCCTTTAGTGCTATTTTTAGAACAGTTTTTATGTACATTCTAAGACACCATAAGACAGGCCTGCACAACCTGCGGCCTGCAAAAGATTTTGGGTGGCCCATAAAAACATAGAGAAAAATACCCTTTACATTTTTCGAGGGTCGCGTGAAATCCTTTGGCCTGCTTGCAGGCTTCTTATGGCCCACAGGCCACAGGTTGTGCAGGCCTGCTATAAGACGATATCTTTCTTTCCTCATATGATATAAAACTGTTCAAATGAAAATAATTATGGTCCTTGGGTACTCACTTATTTTGAATATCCTCACCTGACTATAACTGCTTGTTAAAAGATTTACAAGATAACAGTTTAGTATCATGACAAAATTTAAGAGTAATTTTTTTTAAAATAAAGAAAAACAAAATCAATATATTACATTTGAAGACAATATACTAGACTACTTACAAATAGAGTAGCTTTAACTTGAAGACGTATGAACTGATGCAGAGGGGAATGAGCAGAACCAGAAAAACTTGCACAATAATAGCAATATTGTGAATACAATCAACTGTGAAATAGTCTGTAACTGACACAATGAGTCACCACAATTCCAAAGGAATCTGATGAATCATGCTATTCACCTCCAGACAGAGTGGATGGACTCAAGAGCGCAGACTGAAGCATATTTTCTTCTTTTTCTTTCCTTTTTTTGGGGTAGTGGCTAATGGGGGAATTTGTTTTGTATATACATATTTTTTTAATACTCCCTATCCCCATCTTCTTTATGGTTGGAGGAGGGAAAAAATTGGAACTGATAACTAAAAAACAAAATAAAAACATAAAAACAAACCCATGAATAGCTTTTAAGAGTTTTTTATAGGCTTTTTAATCTTGGATCTGCTACTGAATATCTGTGTGACCTTAAACAAGTGATTTCACCTTTCTGGGCCAACATTTTCTGCATCTGTGAAATGAAAGGGCAAGACAAGATAACCTCTAACCCTTATGGCTCTAAGTCTATGGTACTAATTATGAATATCTGGAAAAAATGTGTAACTTAGAAAACTAAAGAAGTCTTTCCTTTATTTTCTACACAGATACCACTCTATTTATACACTTACACATAGCAGAAGAAAGATAAAAAAGAATAAAGGAAAAGGGAAGCTAATTAAAAAAAAAAAGAAAGGAATTCAACATTTTAGAAAATTACCTGATTCTTTGCCAACACCCATCTGGTTTCCAACAGAGTCTACCACCTGTCTTGAAGAAAGTGCTTTCAAAGCAAGGTAATCATAACCTCCATTTGTTAACCGATAGCCTTGGACAGCTGAAAAAAGAAAAAATGAAAATTCTTTTTAGTTACATATTGCTCTATATCATGTCTGTTAATGAGTTCAAATTCTTATGTTATTCTTTCTAAAATACATACTTTTTCCTTGAGGATCTCTTGATAAAGTTTTAATGTTAACTGTTTTTTTCCCCTTCTAAATACAGACGCTATACTACATACTTTTTGGGGATATGTTCTGCTTATATTAAAAAGCATTACTTACATTGACCTTATAGGCATCTGCCTATCCTTTATATCCACCTGCCACTAATTACCATTTAGCAGCTACAATGTATTGTCATATTTTTAGTAATACCTCATATTCATATAGCTTTTTGAAGACTTACAAAGTATTTTCCTCACAACTACTATTATTTCACAAATGAGAAAACAGAGGTACAGTGAACTGAAGAGAAAACTTGCCCAGAGTCACAGGACTAGAACCAGGACTTGAAACCACATGTTCAGATTTTCAGATAAGTATGTGTTTTCTATTATATCACACTGATGCTCCCATAATATTCCATGATGTTGACATATGAGTTGGTTCATCCATTCTCTATTTAGTTTTGAAATGAAGAACAATGAGGCTCTATCCCCAGTTAGATAGTCTCATGTTTTGGTAATGGTTCTGGTTTATATTTAAAAAGTAAAAATTATTATTTTTATAATAATCTGCACTGTACTGTCAGTATGCTTTCCCCAAAGAATTCAACGTATATGGAAACCATTAGACGAAAGGTTGTACAAATATCATTTATCCAACTTTTACAGTTGAGGAAATTGAGGTTAACTGACTTGCCAAAGGTCATAAGAGAAAGTAACAGTCACAACTAAAGCCCAGGGCTTTGATTTAACTACAATGCTCCTGTCAGACTGCTGGATTTGAGTGCCTGCTAAATATACGTAAGGCAGGTGTGGAAAATATGAAAGAGAAGAAAGACAGTCTCTGCCCTCATGAAGTTTAGTCTAGTAGTGGGGATAAAATAATATGTAAATAATTCCTCGTATTATACAGGCCATCTCATGTTCCCACTCTGTTGTTGAGAATTCTACTCTCTACTTTAGATTTTTCTCTCAGTATCATTCTATTTTCTTACACTCGCAGAAACCTGGCTCTCTTCAGGAGCTCCCTCATCTGCTGTCTCTCTTTCCAGTACTGGTTGTCCTTTCTCAGAGGCTCCTTCTCCCACACACTGAGTCAGAAGGAACCAAAATCCACATTGCTCTCCACTACTTCCCCTGCTGCTTTCAGATTCTCTTCTTTCAAGGATCACTATGTTGGACCACATCACGTACGTGGTTCTTATCTGCCACTTCCAGGGTCATTCTCACACCTTTCTTGAGGAATTCAGTCATCTCTACATACTTCTTAATGTCCCCTTGAATATTCTCAATTCCCATGACCACTAGGGATCTCACCACCACTTTAACCTGTGCCATCTCTGATGGAGTGCTGTGGCGCTTGTGTTTGGGTGCTTGCGCTTGTACCCCAATTTCTCCCTGGCCTCAGAAACACTGTCTCTGACAACCACTCCCCAGCCCAAGGACACTGTGCCTAGCAGTTATTCATGCATGGGCCTCAGCACGACTCTTATCTCTCTCCCTGGTACAGCTACACAGAGCTGGGCTGCTCAGGCCCCAGCACTCAGATCATGTCTCTGGAAGCCTCCCAATTCCTTAGTAGTTCCTGTCTTGTAAGAAAGCTTTCCCTTGTTGCAGAACATTCTCTCGTCAAGACAGAGGGAGAGGGGTGCCTTGCCCAGCCCAAGGAGTTTTGTCCTTGGCCAGCCCAAAGCCTTTTCCTCCTGCCAGACTCCAAAGATCCATACCTCTGTCATCTCCCTCCCTGTCCAGTATACTCCCTGTACTTTCCCATCCATAGCCCCCAAAGACACCTGAACCTTTGGATTACCTCATCAGTGTTCCTGGCATTACTTTCCCATGCTCTTTTCCATGTAAACCCTAGCTGCATTCTCAGTCTCTTACAGGATCCTTAAGAATCCCTGCCCGCTGAAAAGCCTAACAATAAATCTTTGCCACCTTGAATTAAAGAATGCTTGAATCTGTGAATTCATTCCAGACGATCCGTCCTGTATTCCGGTCTTTGAGGGGTCACAACCTCTCAACCTCTCACACCGCAACATCTCCATGATTTTGAACTCTGAAATTATCCCTCTTAATCATAATATATGATCCTTGAATTTCTTCCTCTGCTTTTCTGTTCTGAGAACTAGTTTTTTTGTCCTTATTCTGACTTCAATTCTACTCCCTGAAGATCTCCTAGCTTTTCACCCCTCCTTTGGCCTCACTTTCTTCTCTTCATAGTAGTTATACTATTAATCAGTTATTCAGTTAAACACAGTCCTAGAGCACCAATTCCTAGCCAGTGATGTTTTCCTGCAGTTCACACCTTGCCAATTACCAAGTCTGGGTAACTCCCACCACCCACCTTCTTTGCTTTTACTCCTGCCACTACAGGAATTCACGAAGCTATTCTTACTGAGTTCATAAGGAATTTATGTTACTTAATCGCAACCAAGCCCACACTATTATCCTTTGGAGATAATATCTGTATTAACTACTTTATGGAGTTGCACTGAGGACCAAATAAAATAACACTGTAGAGTCAAAGTGCTACATAAAGGTCATTTATTCCCTGATACTCATGTTATTTATACCAGCTGTTCCAAATCTTTTCCTAAAGCCCCTAATATTATTCATCCTGTCTTTCAACAGATGGCCTTCCTGCCCACTTTGTTCAGAAAGCCCAGGCCATTCATTTGGAATCTTCACCTCCCCTACCTTACATCTTGCCAATCTTCTACATTTTCACTCATCTTTTCTCCTTTGTTCTAATCTCTAAGAGGCAGTCCTTTCTGACATAGCCAACCACCCTATGTCTGCCCTTGATTCCACCTCTTCCTTCAGGAACAGACCATGACAGTCATTCTCATCACCCTTCCCTTCTTCAACCTCCCCCTTCTGACTACTTCTTCCACACTCCTTACAAACATCTACAGGCTTCTCTCATCCCTAAAACAAATAAGACCCCTGTCGTGTGGTTCTACCCCCTCAAAATATCCTCCTGTCTCATATACTTAGCAGCTGTGAGACCCTAGGAAATAACAACCTCTATCAGGCTGCTTCCTTATCTGTAAAATGGTGATGAAAATAGTACCTACCTCACAGGGCTGCTGTAAGGATATAAAGAGATAATAATATACGTAAAGTGCTTTGCAAACTTAAAGCACTATATGAATATTAGTTATTATCAGTTCCAATGTCTATGCAGGTGATTCCAAATTTCTATATATCCATCCCTATTTTCTCTCCTGAACTCTAGCACCTCATCTCCAAAGGCTTCAAAAATGGAAACCATTATCTCCCCTCTGCTGACATTCCAAAAAACAAAACCTTACCATCTACAAATGTCTACTGAGTGTACCTCTCAGTCATCCAAATTCATAACCTTAGTCATCTTTGACTTTTCCTCTTTCTTAATCCCCATATCGTATACTTAGAGTAGTCTAGTACACTAGCCATAGTTCCTAGAAGGAATCTCAGTGATAACATAACCCAGACCTGCACAACCTACAGCTGTGGGCTGCTTTCGGCATGCAGGCCGCAGCTTATACAGGCCTGATATAACCCAATCCTCCAATTTTATTGATGAAGAAACCAAAATCCAGAGCAATCAAGCAACCTGCCCAGATAGGAGACAGATAGAAAATATCAAAAATGTGATCTGATGCAGGTCTGACACCAAAACAAGCTATCTTTCCACTGTACTATGCTGCTTCCCATGTTGATTCTACTCTTCCAACATCTCTTACTTCTAAATCCTTCTGACCACCTGCCAAAAAACCAATTTGGCTCCTTACTGTCTCTCACCTGGACTTTTGTAATAGGCCCATAATTAGTTTCTCTTCTTTTAGTCTCTTCTGTTTCTCTTTATAGTGTCCAAACTAATCTTCCTAAGGCACAATAAACCCCTAGAACCCTTGTGAAGCTGATTTCAACCCATCTTTCCAGGCCTATTTCACATGACTCCTTTCCACACACTTTATTTTCCAGCCAAACTATTTCTTCTTCAGTCGTGACCTTTCATATATTTTAAAAAGGCATGTCCCATGCTTAGAATGTCCTGTTTCTTAGGTTCCTTACCTTCCTTTAAAAGTCAGGTTAGCTACCACCTCCTCTAAGAGGCCATCCTCTCCTCCTTCCAGATACAATCATTCTTATAGCAAAAGACAAAATACTTCCTCAGTAGATTGAACATGGGAATTACTTTTTCAATGCAGATCATCCTTTTCTTCCTTTTGGGACACAATTAAAAAAGTAGGCCACTAGGTGGACTAAGTGTGTGCTGTTCTATCTCTTTCGACAGGAGCTACAGAATGAGTGTATAAACACTGCAAGAAAGGAAATTTAGATTTAAACGAGGCAGGTTGAATGATCAGAGCAGAAATGCTTATTAAGATTATGTTGTAGTATGATGAACTTCTTATAATAACTTCTTGGCAATTTTTCAATACTGCTGGGAAAGTCTTACTATTCAGTGTTTATAATAAATGCTTTTTTATATTAAAAAAAAAAACACTAAAACCCAAACATCAAAACTTCTAAAAATAGTCCTAAAATCCCAGAGACTTTAAGCAGATCTTTGGAGACAAATATGAACAATAAAACATGAAGCTTTTAACATTTTTTTCTAGTTGCTATCTAAATAATGGCAAGAGGCAGAGAGGTACAAATGATGTATTTGGTAAGAGACATAAAGGATCAAAGTTCTGGATTTAAAGTCTGCAAGATCAGGGCTCAAATCCTGCCGATGACACTAACTAGCTACATCATTCTGGGTGAGTCACTTAAATTCTGTAACAGCTTCTTAACCTAAGGTCGAGTGAACTAGCTTTCAAAAAATATTTTGATAACTAATTACAAATAAGTGTTCCCTTTATAATACTATGCATTTTGTGCATTTAAAACATTATTCTGGGGCAGCTAGGTGGCCCAGTGGATAGAGCTATGGACTTGGAGTCAAGAAGACCTGAGTTCAAATCCTGCCTCAGACACACATCACTTACTACCTGTGTGACCCTGGGCAAGTCACTTACCTCAACTGCCTCACCAAGAGCAAAAACCAACCAACCAAAAAAAACCTTCCAACATTATTCTCAGGTGTTTATAAGCTCTACCACACTGCCAAAAGGGTCCACTGACTCAAAAAAAATATCAAGAATCCCTGTCCTATGTTATCTTCCTATGTAAACTCTTGGACTTAGCCACAAAGTCAGAAATGGAGGCTGACCCACATCATCTTAAGGAGTTGGCTATGTTGAGAAAAATCAGATTCGTTTCACATTAAAGAATCCAAAAAAGCATGTCAATGTTACATATGCATTCATAAAATGAACTGTATAATACTTACTTTTAGTTCGTTCATAAGCTAAGAGCTTATGTTTTGCCAGTTCTCTCAAAATCTTATTACAACCACCATGTTTAAGGCTGGCTATGGAGGCGATCAAACTGCAAGGAACTATTTCATGGTTCTTCATGCCCATTTCGACCTGAAGTTAAAAACACACAACAAATAACAACATATATGCAGCTTCTAAAACGATTTTTCTCTAACTGCTAAAACAAACACAAATGTATCATCGCAGCTCTTTTAAAATGTCGTTTTATTTAATGCACTAGAAGCTGAGAAGTAGTTTTTAAATGATATAAATTTTGAACTTTAAAATAGATCTTTTCAAAAGCCACAAAACAACTCATTACCGCAAAAGCTGGGTAACTTAAGTTCAAATTAGGTAATTCACTTTCAGCCTTACAAGATAATCTAGGGCAGGAAGGCTGATAGAAATAACCCTTCTACTACCCCAACATATAAACACACAAACAAGAACACCTGAAAGCTTAGCTCAGTGCCTGGCATGCAGCAAGTGCTTAATGAATGTTTATTGGTTCAAAAAATTCCTTTGAAGATGGATTGTGGGAAGATGGTGGAATAAGGCAGGAAATTATCTGGCTCTCTCAAATTGCTTAAAACAACACCTCAAATTGAATTTTAGAATGGCAAAAATAATTCAAAAGTTAGGGTAAAGCAGTTGTCCAGCCCAAGATAACTTAGGACAATAGGAAAGATCTGGCCCACACAGTGGTGGTATGGCTGGGGTGAAATGCTATGGTAACAAAAGCAAGCCTTGGGGGCAGCTGTACCAGTTTAGGGAAATTTCACCCAGGAAAGTTGGGGTGGTTGGGCAGCTGATGACGGAAGACTGCAGAGGGTGCAGTCCCTTTGCTGACACTAGACGTGGGGCCCAGAAGCTTGGATGTGGCCCCAGGCTGTGGCTATGGGAGGAGCAGTGGCAACCATATTTGGGTAAGGTCAGAGAGGTGGGGCTCAGCTCATGGAGAGGCCTGGTTGTGGTCACTCACAGGAACATCAGTTCCAGGGCAGAGGAGTGAATGGATATTTGGGGTGGCAGTGGTGGTGGTATGGGTTTGCTGGTCTTGGCTCAGGGACAACAAAGAGTACCTGTTGGATACAACTAATTTTGTAATCTCATTTTTATGATTCAGGGCCCTGAACCCTACTTGTCCCCCTCCCAATTTGACTGAAACTCACTTCTTTCCCCTACCCTAACAAAAAGTTAACAGCTAAGAAACAGACCATTAAAAAAAAAGAACTTGGCCATAGATAGTAACTATGGTGATAGAGATCAGGGTTCAAACTCAGAAGACAATGAAGTCAAAACAGCTGCTTATAAAGCTTCAAAGAAAATGTAAAATGGTCACAAGCCCCAAAAGAATTCTCAAAAAAAGCTTAAAAAGGACTTTAAAAATCAAGTAAGACAGGCAGAGGAAAAACCTGGGGCAAGAAATAAAAGTAATGTAAGAAAATTATGAACAATTGGAAAAAGAGGTCCAAAAACTTACTAAAGAAAATAACTCCTTAAAAATTAGAATTGGGCAAAAGGAAGCTAATGACTTCATAAGACATCAAGAAATAACAAAACAAAACCAAAAGAATGAAAAAATAGAAGACAACATATAATATTTCATTAGAAAAAATGACCTGGAAACAGATTAAAGTGAGATAATATAAAAATTGCTGGATCATCTGAAAGTCACGATCAAAACAACCGTCTAGACATACTTAAAGAAATTAAGAAAAACTGACCTAAGTTAAGAGCTGGAGGGTAAAACAGAAATTGAAAAAAATTCACCTGAAAGAGATCCCAAAATGAAAACTCACAGGAACATTATAGCTAAGTTTCAAAGCTGCGCGGTCAAGGAGAAAACATAACAAGCAACTAGAAAGAATTCAAATATTGTGTAGCTACAGTGGGGTAATACAAGATTTAGCTGCTTCTGCATTTCAAAAGGCATGGAATATGGTATTCTGAAGAGCAAAAGGGCTGGGTTTGCAACCAAGAATAACCTACTCAGCAAAGCTGGGTGTGAAATGCACATTTCATGATTTTAAAGGACTTTCAGGCATTCGTGAGGAAAAGACCAGGACATCTATTGATACTAAGTGTCTAAGGTCAGATCTGAACTCAGAAAGATGAGTCTTCCTGGCTCCAGGGCAGGCACCTCGCTGCCCTTCAGAAGATCGTCTGACAAAATAAGAGGTGCTTAGAAAATGTTAGTTGACGGATTTAACCTCTGTTTCTTCATCTGTAAAATGGAAGAAAAACAACAGTCCCTCTATATTGCAGGGTAATTGTGACGACCACGGGAGAGAACACACGTGAGAGCGTTGCAAACCTTCCAAGTGTTTCATACACAACAGCTGAGCCCGGAAGCTCAAGGGGCCGGTACCAGAGCCCCCGGGGGCGGGCCGGGATTCAGCACATCCCCCGGCTGCCCCTCGCTGTGCCCCCGCTCGCTCCCAGCAGGGCGCCGCCCAGCCGATCCAAACCACCCGGGGCCTGGGAAGGCCGGACTCGCGGCACCACAAGCGCCCGCCCGGTTTTCCGGGACAGCCTGTCCCGGTGGATTCGCTCCCTTCCTCCTCCCGACCCGGATCCCCGGCCCGCGCCCAGGTCGCGGCCGCTGGGCTGGGGTCGGCAGATGTCGGGATCGGCGCACGCCGGGTCTTACCGCGGTCAGAACCCTGAAGTCGTCCCGTGACAGGTAGCGCAGCTTGGCCACATTCACCTTCCCCATGGCTGCTCCAAGAAACAGCCAGCGAGAGACTGCTCTCAGCGCGCGTGCGCGAGCGAGAAGGCGTCTGGGGCGCATGCGTCCTTTGGCTTCCAGGTCCCTGTCGATATATAAAACCCCAGGATTTCCGTTTCAAATAAAAAAATAAGCATTGTTCTTGATTTCGGTGAGCGGGCAGGATAACAAATTTAGTGTTTGTCACGGTAAATCAAAGAATCGGAATTTAATCCATGGACGTAAAAAGGCGCTCTTTCTGGAAGACTTCTTTTTAATCTGCCAGGATTGGCTGCCTAGGTGAAGCGTCCTGCCGGGGCGGCCCCGGGAGATTGATTAGTGGTGGGCGGAGCAGTTTTTTTCAGGTTAGCTTCTATTGCTCCCGCCTGGCACCGCGGTCTCATGAAGACCCTGAGAGAGAGAAAGACGAGGCTGAGGGCTTTGGACTTAGAGAATCTAAGGTAAATAAATGAATAGTAAAATAAAATCAACCTGGAGGAAAAGTCAAGGCCCCTGGTAGCATCTGCCTGGATAAAATGCTGGTCAAAGTGGTTTAGACTCACCATTGTGTACTGGAAAGGGGGTGGATTTGGGAGTCCCAATTCGAATCCTGGAGGTGACATTTACCAGCTTGTGCACACTGGGCATATCGTGTCACCTCTCTCAGCCCAACTCTGATCCCCATCTGTAAAATGGGGATCAGGACCCTTTCTGTTGCAAAGGAGTTGTACATTGTGAAGCTTAAAACACAATGTAGATGTGAGTTTTCTGGTGAAGCAGCATGGAGCAGCTGTGGGTTGCTGGATCTGGGGTGCAGAAGACCTGATTTAAATCATGTCTCAGATACTTACCATCTAGGTGACTCAGGACAAGTTGTTTAACCTCTCTGTGCCTGAGTTTTCTTTCTCTGTAAAAGGAAGGAGGGGAGTGGATCCCATAATCTTTTAAAGTCCCTTCCAGCTCTAACAATGATCCTATTGCCATTAGGATTATTATTTTACACCTATTTGTGTAAGTGTATTCACCAGTAAATTGTAAAGTCCATGAAAGTGGGGACATTTTATTTTTTGTTTTCATATTCCAGTATCTTATATTTAATAAATGTTTGTTGAATTGAACACCTTCCCAAGAGCCTCTTGCCTCTAGTCTCTTCCCCTCTCCAGCTGATCTTTTTTTTACTCCCCAACGCAATTGGGGTTAAGTGACTTGCTCAGGGTCACATAGCTAATAAGCCTCAAGTGTCTGGTCGGAGACCAAATTTGAACTCAGGTCCTTCTGACTCCAGCTGATCTTTTTTACACAGCTGCCAAAATAATTTTCTTAAGGTACAGCTCTGTGTCACTACTTACTGGAAAAGCTTTCAGTAACTCCCTGTATAGATTAACTGCTAATTCCTCAGGCTGCTGTTCCATAATCTGACTCTGACCTACCTTTTCCAGCTCATTTCACATTATTTTCCTTCACAGACTCTTCTTCCCAGACTGGATTACTAGGTATTTTCCGAACTCAACATTGTGGCTCCATGCATTGCCACAGGTTGTCCTCCATGCCTGGAAGATACTGTATAATCCAACCCTAATTCTCCTCTTCCGTTGAGGCTCAACTCTGGGAAATCTTCACTTATCTCCCACCTGAAGGTATTCATTCTAGAGGACTTTAATCTTTCCTTTGCCTCCTTCAATACTGACCTTTTATCATACTTATCTGTGTACATGCTTTATCCTCCAAACCAGGATTTCTTTGAGGGCAATGATAGTTTCATTTTTTCTTTATCTCTCTGGTGCCTAGCATGATGCCTTTTATGTAGTAGTTACTTAATAAATATTTGTTGATTTGTATGCTTATATACAAGGGATATCAAATATACTATAAACTTTATATAAGGTATTTGAAAATATACCTGTACTGTAGCACATATTTGACTCATCTTCCTACTCTCCTCCCCCACATTAAGTTGAATGATCTTTAACTTTATCTACCTCTTTCATCTGTGGCCCACCGAGGCAGAATTCTCATTGCATAACTAGGAACGGGGCTCTGGAAGGTTGAGGAATGTTAAAGGGTACCCTGAACTTGTCATTTTGAGTTGTCATATTTTCCAGGAACACTGGACCTTGAATGTACCAAGGATTTTTGCCAGAGTCTTCTTTAATAGGCTTATCCTTCACCCTGATGATGGTCATCTACCTGAGAGCCAGTGTGGCTTCAGAAAGGGCTGAAGAACTGTCCATGTGATGTTTGCTGCCAGACAACTCCAGGAGAAATGTCAGGAGCAAAGCAATGGTCTGTACACAATGTTTGTTGATCTGACCAAGGCCTTTGATACTGTCAGCCATAAGAGCAATTAGATTGCCTGGAAAAGTCTGTCAGTATGGTACGTCAATTTCACGATGGCATGCTTGCCTGGGTTCTAGATGATGGACGATGCTCTCAAGCTTTCCCAGTCACCAGTGGAGTGAAGCAAGACTGTGTTCTTGCTCCCATGCTTTTTAGCATGATGTTTTTAGCAATGTTATCAGGTGTCTTCAGTGAGGATGAAAATGGCATCAAAGTCAACTGCTGCACTGATAATAAATTATTTAATTTGAAAAGACTACAAGCCAAGACTACAGTGGCGGGAGAGCTGGTATGTGACTTTTTGTTCACAGATGGTTGTGCACTCAATGTAGCCTCTGAAGCTGAGAAGCAACAAAGTATGGATCAGTTCTCTGCTACTTGTGCTAATTTTGGCCTAACAATTAACACCAAGAAAACACAGGTTCTCCACCAGCCAGCGCCACACCATCCATATGTAGAACCATCTATTACAGCAAATGGAGAAGTTTTGAATACTGTGGACCAGTTCATTTACCTTGGCGGTATACTTTCCAGGGATGTATATATTGAAAATGAGATTAATGCATGCATTGCCAGACCTACCTCAGTGTTTGGGAGGCTCTGAAAAAATATGTGGGAGAGAAGAAGTATTAGACTGCATACCAAAATGAAAGTCTACAGAGCTGTTGTGCTGACCTCATTGTTGTATATTTGTCTGACCTGGAAGTATACCAGTGCCATACCAGGAAACTAAATTGCTTCCATTTGAATTGTTTCAGGGAGATTTTGAAGATCACCTGGCAAGATAAGGTACCTGACACTGAGATCCTTTCTTGAGCTGAACTCCAAGCTGCAGAGACAACGCAAATGGGCTGACCATATTGTTTCAATGCCAAATATATGCTTGCCTGAAAGAGTATTTTAGAAAGAACTCATGCAAGGAAAATACTCATATGGTGGTTAGAAGAAGTGATACAAGGACACTCCCAAGGTCTCTCTGAAGAACTTTGGAATTGATTTCATGATGTGGGAGACCCAGCATGGCATGCCCACGTGAAAGATGATATACTCTGTGAGCAAAGCAGAATTTCAGTAGTTCAAAAGAAGTATGAGATGTGCAAATTTAGAGACATCTCTCTCCAAATATTCATATGGACTATTTGTGCCTGGCCTGGGGTAAAGCCTTCTGATTTTTGTTTTGCCACTGAATTTCGATGACTCTGGAAGAGATAGTGAAGCTGATGCCTTCACACAACTCTGCCTCACTTAAAAACAATTTACTATTGAGTCAAAAGGCATCACCCATACCATTTAACCATTTCATTATTTTACTATTAAATAATTTTACAATTTTGTCAATTTATTATTTAATTATCCAATTATTTTACTATTTTATTCTTTATTATTTTATTATGTTATTATTTTACTATTTTGCTATCTTACTGTTCTACCTACCTCAAAGTCCTATGGCAGTGTGCTAGTGATGAAGAAGCAGTTGTGGATACATTGGACCCTGCAGTCACAACCCTGCACATAGGCGACTCAAGTTGCTGGGATGAAGCAGCAGTGGGATTCTGGATCCTCCTAGGTCTGAGCAGCTTTCTTAAGGACTTCACTGCTCATCTGCTGGCATGAGGAAGAGGCTAGAAAATTGCCCTAAAAATTGGCTGATTCACCTAACTCTGGTCTACTTACTGTGACAGGTGGAGATCACACTCGTGCAGTTGAAACACAAAAACGTGTACAAAGATTCTGCTCACCATTGGTACATGGAATGTGTGCACATTTCTGGACAACAAGAAATCCTGTAGCCCTGAACAGCTCTTGTTGTGAGACAACTTAGCAGGTATTTTGCAGGCCTAAGTGAAACAAAGTTGACCAATGAAGCTCCGCTTACTGGCATCAGAGCTATCTGCATATGTGTTTTTTCTGGAGGGGCCACAGTGATGGGGAATGCTGGGAAGCTGGTGTAGGTTTTGCCATCAAATCTACTCTAGTCAGCAAGCTTGTGTGCCTCCCCAAAAGAGTCAATGACAGGCTCATGACAATGCCACCATCATCAACACATATGCTCCTACCATGACAAATCCTAATGAGGTTAAAGAAGAATTTTATGAAGACCTGAAGACCCTTGTCATCAATGTGCTGAAAGAGGACAAGCTTGTAATTCTGGGTGATTTTAATGCTAGAGCAAGCACAAACTATCAGACGTGGCAGGGAGTCTTTGGGAGCAGTGGAGTCAGAAACAGTATCATTTCATTCCTTTCATGAACCTAAAATTCCAGGAAATTGGCCAGAGTCAGGCCTTTCTTGGATCCGAATAATGTGCCTTGGGCCACCAGGAGACTATATGGCAGTCAATGGTTCTAGCCTTAGTTCTCTGAATCAATTAAATCTCACCAGTTTCCTTGCTTTTCAGGGAAAAAACAAAACAAAACAACTAATTTACCCTATATGTCTGGAACCTTAGAAGATATTATTCTTACTGTATAACCTGTTGACTCTTCTGTGGCTTAATGGAGAGTTAACAGTGGTGAAAAAATTCATCACCCTTTGCCCAGTGTGGTTACAGACTTCTCTGAATATAATAGAAGGGGTGATGAACACCAGTATGTTGTTTCCCAGCTGACAGATGGAACAGCAACACCTCCCTCACATGTGGGGCTCCCTCAAAAGCTACCCAAGGTTCAAGCTCTTCAAAAACATGTCTCATGTTCTCTCCACCCCCATATACTTTTGCTCATTAAAGGATAGAGGACCCAGCCGGTTCAAAGCAAAGCATTTCATGAAACTGAATAATAAACAAAGCAACATCAGAACATTCCTGCCATAAACCTAGGAAACACTTTTCTGCAAATATGTACATCCTTGGTAGGAGGAATAGCTATGTAGAGGGATCATGCTTGTAGGGGAAACTCATGCTTCCATGCTGTAGAGTGTGTGTTTTCTGTTAATGCTACGGTATTGGTCCTTGGGTTTGCTCTCTGCTGGGCAGTGCTCTCTCTTGGACTTATATCTGGTTGTCAAGTTATGTCTGTGCTAATCTTTGCTTCTCCTCCCTGGATTCTTTGTTCTCTTTCTCCTGGTCATATCCTCCTCCTTTGGTCTTATGGGTTGCTGCTTGTTCTAAATTTCTGGTCTTCATCTCATTAGGATCATCTGCCACCTGTCTCATCTCCTGTTTGCTAGGCTATGGTAGAGAACCTCCTTCCTGTCCATATTAATGGACAGGCTAAGAACTCTTTAGTCATAGTGGTCATGGCCATCACACCCAGCTAACTAGCCAAAGCCAGGCAGAACATATCTAGGCCAGGTCTTCTTAAACTTTTTCCCCTATCAGCACTTCTTGAACTGTAGGCCGCTACTCCATAGGCTAACAGTAAGTCTTTTCTTTTGACACCTTGTGTGTGGGTCTGAGTTGTTGCCATAATAGACAGCTGCCTTAATTAGGGTTTGAAATTCTGAAGATCTCTGGTTTGGCAGGAAAACAAATTTGATCCAGAACAAAATTTAAGCAAAGAAGATAAAGGTCACCGTTTGCTTCCCACCTGGCCAGCATTCTTGCTTCTGTTTGCTGCATGACAGCCACAGAATCCCTTAACTTCAGTACTATATTTTGTCCACAGAAAAATCTTGCTGACCTCTTACATACTTTCTATATGAAACTTACCATGCTTTTCCAGTTTGATAGTATCTTTCTGGGCTTGCTCTTCTCTGGTATAGACTTTGATAAACCAGGGGCATCTCTAGAGCATGAAGAAGCATTGGAGTAGAATTTGAGTGTCATTATTACTTGTGGGATTTATCATTCAATTCTAACCTTAAATGAATATTTAATTCTCATTGACATTTTTTTTTAAAAAGATAGTAAGAAGGTGCCTGCTATAACACCTATGAATGATGTAGAGCTCTCTAGTGAATGGGTACCAGTTGGGTAAATAATTATTAATTTTGATAAAATAACTAATAACACTGTCAGATAAGAAATTCAATAGCCAGTCAGAAATGAAACAATGCATATCTTGAGAGTCAGATCTGAGTAGTGTCAGTGTCCCAGGGAAATAGATTCCAAAATTTGGAAGTCATCTCTTAGAAATTCAAAATCTTGGAATTTTTGGGGAAGCTACTCTTTATTTGTTAGAACCATTGAGCTTTTATATGTGTGTTTTGTCAGAAATTCCTTTTAAAGTGGAGTCAGGTTTGATTGGGAATGTGTACTTAGAGCAAAGCTCCTGACTGTGGCTGTTAATGCTGGGAAATTTTGAGGAGCTGGCAGTGATAATCAAAATGGAAATCTGCCAGGTAAGACTTAAAGATCTAT